ATCCAGACTACCAGATAATAGTCCCCACAATGAATTATCTCTTACCTAGATTTCTGTTTCAATTTGTTAGGTTTTCTTACCTCAAACAGGGAGATTAGAGGCAGAATAAAGAAAAACACCAACGTTTACACATAAGCCAGTTAAGATAGCTCTTGCTTACCAAAGTGATCTATTCCAGAGTTTGAAAAATTGCAACATTGTTTTAATTATCATCTACCACAAGTCTCACAATGGAGATGTTACTGGTGCTCGCTCAAGCAATTCGATGAACAACGGGAGGACAGTGACAGTGACCTATCTTCTACACCTTCTATTCAATATAGTACTGGAAATACTTGCCATAGCAGTTAGGCAAGAAAAAGATATCCAGGGCATCCAGACAGGAAATAAAAAGGTCAAGCTATCACTACTAGCAGATGGCATGATACTATACTTAGAAAATTCTAAAGACTCTATATAAAATCTCCTAGAAACAATAGGTTTGCATAGTAAAGTGGATTGTTACAAAATCAATACCCAAAAATCTGTGGCTTTCAGTAAAAGTAATGAAAGAGATGAAAGATACATTAAAATAAATCCCCTTTAAAATAGTGCTTCAGAAAATCAGTACCTTGAAATTAGCTTAACTAAAGAGGTGAAGGAAAGAAAACTACAAAAAACTATTTCAAGAAATATAAGGACACTAGAAAATGGAGACGCCTTTTTAAAGACTTTCTTTAAATAAATAGACAAAAGACTCCTGAAATTCATATGGAACAATAGACTCCCACGAATAGCTAAAGGAATCCTTGGGAAAAAGAAGATGTGAGGCATCATGATCCCCAATTTCAAACTTCACAATAAAGCAGTAATAATTAAAGCAGCATTGTATTTGAATAGAAACAGACTCACAGATCAATGTAATAGAGTTGAATACCTGACACAGACCCTCAAATGTATGATCACTTAAGTTTTGATAAAGGAGCAAGAAATGTGAAGTGGAGCAAGAAAAGCCTCTTCAAAAAATGATGGTGGGAAAACTGGAAAGCTACTTACAAAACAATGAACTCAGACATCTGTCTAATATCAGGCACAAAAGTCAGATCAAAATGGATTAAAGACCTCAATATCAGACCTGAATTTATAAGGTACATGGAGGAAAATGTGGACAGAACCCTCCATGACATTGAAGATCAAGGCGTCTTTAAGGATGAAAGCAAATGGAAACAAACATAAACAAATGGGACAACATTAAACTAAGAAACTTTTGCACCTCAAAGGAAACAGTGACCAAAATGCACTGAGAGTACATGGAATGGGAAAAAAATATTTACCCAATATCCATCAGATAAGTAGTGAATATCCAAGATATATATGACACTGGTAGAACTTTACAAGAATAAAACCTCAAACCCCATCAAAAACAGGGAGAGGAAATGAATAGTAACTTTTTTAAAAAAAGAAATACAAATGGCCAAAAAGCACCTGAAAAAAATGCTCTATATCTCTACCATCAGGGAGATGCAAATCAAAACACAATGAGATATCAACTCACGCCACAGAAATTGACACATTAAAATGAACAAGAACAACCACTGCTGGCACGGATTGTGTGGAGAAAGGGAGTCTCATTCATTGTTGGTGGGAATGCCGACTGATCCAGCCTTCTGGAAAACAATATGGGCATGCTTCATAAAACTAGAAACTGAGCCTGCAATACCACTTCTGGGAATATATCCCGAAGGTGCAAAGAAGCACAGTAGAAATGACATCTGCACCTGTATGTTCACTGTTAACAATAGCCAGAATCTGAAAACAACTCAAGAGCCCAAGAACAGACAACTGGTTAAAGAAACTTTGGTACATCTGCACAATGGAATACTATGCAGTTGTTAGTAAAGATGAAGTCATGAAATTTGCCTAGAAGTGGATGGACATGGAGAGTATCATGCTAAGCAAAATGAGTCATAAAGAGAGGGACAGACATAGAATGACTGCACTCATTTGTGGACTATAAAATATCATAATATGAGACTAACCCCCAGGACATTACAGACAAGGTCTAGGAGGATTAGTCTATGGTTGGAAGCCTGCCCTTTGTGCTGAGGGAGAAGGCAATTGAGAAAGAGAAGGGAACACTAAGTCAGTGATGGTCGGAGGGATCACTCAGGAAGGAGACGTGTGCTGAAAGTAGACAAAGGACCAAACGTGATGGCCTCTTCGTATCTGTATTACAAACTATCATGTCCAAAAATAGAGACAGGGTACAAAGGAAAGTGTCTGCCATAAAGGCAGAGGGTGGGGTGAGGTGAAAGGTGGTAGAAGGGATACTGGGGACATTGGTGGTCAGAGATGTACACTGGGAGAGGGATGCGTTTTCAATTATTGTATGATTAAAAGTCAATCATGAAAGCTTTATTACTGTATCTCATGGTGATTAAATTTTAAAAAAGAAAGAAAAGAAAAACAGAGGCAATATAAATTTGGGGATTCATTTCCAGTTTAGTAAATTGAAGATGGTCTGAAATTCTGCCTACAGCAAGGTGGACACTAGGAAAGAAATTGTTGTACTGAATTCAATCAGTTGTTAATTTCAAATGCTGTTGTTATGGTAAAATATGAAGAGAATATATGGAGAAGTGAAAAGACAGAATTTGTGATTCTTTGTTTACCATTTCCCATACACAAGAACACATGTATTTAACACACAAAAATCTGTAATGATTTAGATCTACAAAGTACAGCTCGATGTTAATATAGCAAAATATGCAACATGGATGTGGATATTTAGATATGATATATGGGTATATAAATAATTTTAATATTATGAATAGCTATCTAAGTGTAGAAGATAGGTAGGTAGATGATAATTAAAACAACTTGGCAATATTTCAAACTCTGGAGTAAGAGCTCTCTTGGCTGGCTTATGTGCAAATCTTGCTGTTGTTTTGGACAACTGGTAGGGGATTTGGACCACCTTTCTTAGGTGAAAGGGGAACGAATTTTAAACGACTTGACTGAGAAGCCCAAAACAACATCAACCCTAGACCAGAGGAGAATAGGTGGGCAAGGAATTCTTGATTTCAGTGAAGCCATTGCCTGGCAGGGTTGAGAAGAAAAGAACCCCGCCCCTCCTGACTGCAGACTCTGCCTCGCTGAAAAAACGGGAGTTTCTGGGACCCTCCCTGTCTTCCCACTCCCAGCTTCCAACCACGGTCATAGGAAGTTAGAACGGAAATGACCCGCAGGCCTCGGTGGCAGAGACGTGCCCGTTCCGTCAAGGCGGGCACTAGCCTCGGCGCTTGCCCATGGGCCAGGCGGTGTTCCAGGTCCCCAAGCGCTGGTTCCCCTGGCACTCGCACTCGCCCGCTCCGGAGGGCACTGTCCCAGGCCGCAGCTTCAGCCCCGCTCCACTCTGACGTCTGCTCCCGAGCTCTGACGATCGCCCCCGCCAGCCACCTTATAAAGGGGACTTGTGCCAACCCCGGGAGCGGCCGCCACCTCGCACCACGCCGAGCTCGCAGCTCGCGCAGTCACACCTGTCAACTTTGCGCTCCGACTCCTGGGGGACGCGCGGTTGGAGCCGCCAAAGCTGGGTCCCAGCTGCCTGGCCCAGCCCCAAGCCGCTCCGCGCCTCCAGCCTGCGTCTCCCCCGGACCCTGGCAGCCCGCTTCGGCCCCGGGGCGGAGGTTCAGACCTTACGCCGCCCCTCGCCAGGTAGGAAGGAGCCCGCTGGGCGGCACCGCGGGCGCACGGACTGGGCGCACCGGACCGGACCGCGCGGGCGCTGCTGCGGGGCCAGCCAGGGGGACGCGCTTCGGCTTCTGAGTGAACCTGCGAGGGCGGGTCCCTGACCCGCGCTCCAGGAACTGCGGGGTGCGGGTGGCAGGGAAGTCGGGGCGCGGCAGATGGGTAGCAGGCACCCCTCCACCCACTCTCACACGCCCCGACAAGAAGCTGAGGGGCGCCGGTTGTGACCCCAGAAAGAACTTCTCTTCTGGAAGGGTCACAAAGGCACAGCGCTTTTTGCCTGCTGGCGCTTCTTTGGCTTCCCCGGAATCCCATGGAGGCTGCTTCTTCCGTCGAGGTCTTGTTGCCCACTTGCTTGCAGGGGGAAAAAAAAATCGAAGTTTCCTCTATAAACTTGTTTATGTGACGCAGGGTGCATGAATTAACCTTAATCACTTAAGGGGATGGAGTGGGGTGGGATAATAAAGAGATGAATTCCCAAAATGAAAGCGTTAGCTTTGTCTTAAAGATTCTTGTTATTTAATAGCGTTGATGCTGCACCCCCTCACCTTTTTTAAAAAACGAATTCCGCATTTTCGCCCCATGGTTTTCTGTTTTCTTGTGTATGTTATTAAGGAGGGCGGAGGAGAGATGGAAGGAATGAAGACAATGGATGATCAAGAGGCTAGATTCTTTAAACACAGCATTTTACTTACTACAGTAACTTGAACAATAAGCAACTTGTTGAAAATTGGGTTTCATGAGTTTTTGAAGTGGATTTTCCTAAATATATTTTCAGTTATTTACATAGCTACCTTTCCTTTGGAATGATTTTTGAAATTATTTGAAAATAGGGATAGGTGAATGAACATTGTATTGTGCTAATCTCTTTTGAGATTACATTACTGAATAATTCTAGACTGAATGGTAAGATTGTTTCAAAATGTTAGTATAGAAATACTCTTTGTAAGTGAAGTGACTTATCAAATGCAAAAATAAGTATGATTATATTTCTTCACTATCATTTTTATATTTTCTTGTTTTTGAATGGTCAAAACAATAGCTTGCTAAATAGAAAATTAGTAAAATAGTGGACACTTGTTGGTAACTACTAGTTTACCATATGATTTCAATATACTTTTGCTTTAAGTGGCACATAATCTAACATAAACCAAATGGTTCATTACTGGCTGCGTGTGCATGATTGGTTGGTTTATAATGCCCGGCTATGTTTTCTTCAGAAGTCTTGATGAAGTAGCCAGTTGTTAAACCAAACGGACTCCTAAGCAAAAATGGCGTTCCATGTGGAAGGACTAATAGCTATCATCGTGTTCTACCTTCTAATCTTGTTGGTTGGAATATGGGCTGCTTGGAGAACCAAAAACAGTGGCAGTGCCGAAGAGCGGAGTGAAGCCATAATAGTTGGTGGTAGAGACATTGGTTTGCTGGTGGGTGGATTTACCATGACAGGTAGGTGAAGATGCTGCTCATTCCTTGCTGCCTACACTGCCTTGGCTTCTCAGTAACAAAGAAAATGTTGTTCTTTTGTCTTTGGGGGGATTTTTCGCCATTTTAATGTATTTTAAAATAATTTTTAATTTATTTTTAAAAAAACAAGTGGTTTCAACTTTGAGCAATCGGACAAAATGGGTTTAATATCAATGAAACTAATTTGATTGTCTGGGCTCTTTAGTGGATGAAAATAATGTGAAAAAAGGAAGGTTGGAGAAATGGGCAAAAGTGTCTTTGTGATGCAAGTTACGTGTCCATTAATGAGATGAAATGTCAATAGCTGATTTTCACTAATGTAGGCATGATGTTTTGACTTTGAGTTATTTTTAAATGGCAAATTTAATGTGCACTCACTGGTGATGGTTTTAAACCTGAATGAATCAATTTGGGTATGACACATTTCCAAATTAATTGATGCCCTGTTTTGAAATCTAATTCTTCCATTTGATAAACTAATTTCCTGACAGGAAAGACAATGATAAGGTGGAAACCATAGAACTGAAAAACAAAAATGACAAAGGGATTTCTAAATGCCTTGATGTAATAGGCGAAACGTTAGGGCGTGTCCTACCAGGATTCCTTCCAATCTGCTCTCTGGGGGACAATTAATTCTGTCCTAAGCACAGACATGGTTCTGTTTAGTGATTTATTTTATATTCTTCTTGGTAAAATTTTAATTTATATGTATATCATTTGATACATAGCCATCAATAACACTCATTTTATTTTAGAGTTTTTATAGATTTCAAAACATTGGTAATGTAATTGACATTAACAGAAACTCTGAGTGCCTATTGTAAAGGAGATTCCTTGCACTCACATCCCAGAAGGGGTAGGGGTGAAGGGCAGAAGAATCTCTGGTTGTTTGCATCATATTGTTTGTGAAAGGGTTCATGGAAAACAAACTTAGATTTGGTGTGTGTGTGTGGGGGGTGTTTTTGTTTGTTTTGGGGCCATACTGTCAATACTCAGTGCTTATTCTTGGTTCTGCTCTGAGATCACTCCCTGCAGAGCTGCGAGGACTGTATGTGGTGCTGAGGATCCAACCCAGGTCTGGCATACGCACAGCGAGTACCCTACCTGTTGAACTAGAGCATCAGCCCCAAACTGTATTTTTTGTTGTTGCTTTGTTTTATTTTATGAGAATCAAATCATGTTAAGGTTAACAAAGTTAGTAGGGCCTATAAACCCAGGCTCAGGTTTACTGGCAGCCCCAGACCCAGAGCCCTTCCCAACTGCTCACATATAACCCTCTATTTTTTGTAGTGGAGTGGGAAGCACTTGGGACCACACCCTAAGATGCTGGTTTTTTTTTTTCCCTAGCTCTGTGCTTGAGTGACCCCTTGCATGATGGGAACACCATTTGTAGTGCCAGGGGTTGAACCCAAATCTGTAGTATTCAAGGCAAGTGCTTTTACCCTATATTCCCATCCAGATATAGAACCTTTCTTTGTCTTTTTTTTTTTTTTTGCTTTTTGGGTCATACCTAGCGATGCACAGGGGTTACTCCTGGCTCATGCACTCAGGAATTACTCCTGGTGGTGCTCGGGGGAACCATATGGAATGACCAAACCTGGGTCAGTTGCGTGCAAGGAAAACGCCCTACCCTCTATGCTATCACTCCAGCACCCGAGATATATAACATTTTTAAAGATTCCATCTTATTTCTTTATAAGTATACATAGTTTGTAGTTTTGCTGCATGACTATTTTTCTCCATATGTACATGTATTTGTACTGTGAACAATATTTTCTATAATGATATTTGCAAAAAAATAAAGAATAAGAATCAGTCATCAACCTACTATCTAAAGATAAGTAAACTAAAATGTTGATATAGATTTTCTTATTTCCTCTTCTTAGCATTGATGAACAGTCTGCAGAGCTCTGTGCCTCCATTTTCATTTTTTCGCCATAACACAAATATGTCTTTCCCCTAAAAATTTGGATAAAATATTGATATGTGAAATCAATTAAAATTGGGGTGCCAGAGACATGATTCAAAGTGGTAGAGCATGAGTCTCGCACTTACAAGGCTCTCAGTTCGATTCTGTCACCACAGGCATAGACCAAGTCAGTCAAATCCACCTTAGGAATGACCTTGGTGGCTTCTGACAGTTTCGGTCCACAATAATGATACTGTAGGGTCATCCTGAGCCCTCAGTTCCCCCACCTGGCTAAGTATTGTTGGAATTAGTCATACACCATTAGACATCACTGCAGGAAACCTATGGAATATTAATTTATTTTTTAAAATATGATATGAACCTGGGGACATAGCTCAGCAATAAATATGCCTTCTGTGTATCAGGACCAGTCACTAAAATCTTTATATGTTGTAAAAAAAATCAATACATGTTATAACTACATTGCTCTCACTTTCTTGTTACAAAGAAAATAGAAAAGCAAACTTAAGCAATAATTTTTTAAATTTTACTCAATAAGACTGCTTCTCTGAATGAAATAGTTCTTAAATGTCACTGTTTTGATCATGGAAAATGTTTGCAATACACTGTAACAATTTTCTGTGTTCATAAAGTTTTTCTTTTTATTTGGAATTTTTCAATTTAATTGGCTTCCATTTAATAATATAGGAGAATTGAATTATGATATTACCTATAAGATGCTCTGGGCTCTTGGCTTTTAAGCATACCTTAAACTCTTTTAGAATTGAAAATTGCCATAACTAATGTCATGACTCATTTAAAATTTTAACCATATTATCTAAACCTCGTCAGCTTCATTGATTATACTGAAGAAAAATTAAGATGCACATAGTTTAGTTTATTTTTTAATTTACAACATAGTAAATAATATAATTATTATATAAATAATATTTATAAATTTATATTAAATAAATATAATAAATAAAATAATAAATAAAATAGTAAATAAATAATAAATAGTATTTATTTAATATAAATAGTAAATAAAATAATAGTTTCTCATGAACATAATCCCAGCACCACATTCATCACCAGTGTACCCATCTACCTCATACAAGGAACTCAGCCCTGGTCCCTCTCACTTCCCCTGCACAATTGTGTGGGTCAATTCCCCAGTTATGTTGCCTTTGAATCTTTGTCGCTACCTTGCTGAAAATGTACAGAGTTTAAAGGAACTCTTATTCTCATTCACTAATCTGAGATAAAATATACTAACATGGAGAACAGTAGAAGGAACTAGATAGATAAAACATGGAGGGACTTTGCTTAATAAGTAACAAAGTCTTTGTGCTTGTACTGTGATATTTGCAATCATGCAAGAACTAATTTTCTCTTTTGCATGAAGGAGAGGAGACCTATACAATGATAAATTATCACAAATAGGCTTTTTGCTTGTAAGACTGTAAAAGCATTTACTTTATGCTATGCAAGATTGCTGGTATGCTACAAAAGATTGCTGGTGTTTTAATAGACTTGTCTAGTGGAAACTCTCAGATTCTGTGCCTGTAGGGATTTATTTCTTTGGATCATAGTTACAATTTTACTTGATAGGAAAGAAGATTTTATAAAAAAAAAAATCGTAGGAGGGGCTAGGACACATGGGCAATCCTGATTCAATCCAAGGCATCATCCTGAGCACTGAGAGGAGTGATCTCTGAGTATGGAGATCTAAGCACCGCCAGGTGGGGCTTCAAACCCCTCAAAATAAAATTTTAGCAACCTTAGTAGAAAAAAATTAACAAGTAGTAGCATTTTTTGTGTGTGTATTACCATCATATAAAGGCTAGTATGAGGATAAAAGCATTTCCTGTAGCTTCCCAAGCTGTGCTGTGCCTTGAACTCAGAAACCTACAATCTCTTTTTTTTTAATTAACTTTTTAAAATTGAATCACAGTGAGATACACAAAAAGTTCTTTATAATTTGGTTTCAGTAATATAATGTTCCAACACTCATCTCTTCACCAGTGTACATTTCCCACCACCAATATCCCTAGCTTCCTTCTGGCATAACCACTCCTCCTCCCCATGGGAATATAAACAATAAAGATATGTGTTTCAGCAGAGGGCATTTTACATTGTGTTCCTGGAGAAAATGGTAGAATTTACAGCTCACTTTTATTCCAAATTAGCTTAAAAATACTTCATTGGGTTCTTTAACTTTGCTTCTGCTACAATTTTGTTACAAAATTTTTCTAAATATCATCTAGTAAAAAAAATAAGATCTGTTGTCTCTAAAATACTAAATATCTGAAAAAGGATTTAGATCAGAACAAAAGTATTGCAAGTGAGTATGCTGTCAATATTTTTAAATTCTTCTGAGTGCTATCTGAGGGTTAAATGTGTGTTAGAAGGCCAAAGAGATAGTACAACATGTAAAAGACTTTCCTGGCACATGGTCTCTCTGGGTCCATCCCCAGCACCCCATATGGTCCCACAAGCACTGCCAGGAGTGACCCCTGAGTGCAAAGCCAGGAAAGGGATCCTATGGTCCCAAATAAAAACATATAAACACATAAAATTATATATATTATTATGTATAAATGTATAAATTCATTATATATGAATTCATAAATATATAAAATAAGTATTAGGTACTTGGGAAGAAAGAAAATATCTACTTAAAAGTCACACTGGAGTTTCTTTGATGTTAAGTTATATTTTTCGCCTACCTTCAGTTTTTGTGTATCCAGAACATTTAAGAAACAACTTTATTAATGAAAAACATAAATACCCAGGACCACACATGTACACATTTGTGCATATACCCACACATTCCACTTCTTGAGAACTATAGTTATTACTGGGGAAAGACTTTAGAACCAGATTTTAAAATAAAGATATATCACGTTTGTGGATATTTCTGTATTCTTCTATATTCTCTGATACAGTATTGAGAGTAGAAGTGGACATATTCTTCACCGTATATTCAATAATTACAATGGGTCTCATCGTATATTCATTCATTCATTATCTCAAAATGTATTATCTCTAGAATTACTTAACATATTGTGACAAAAAATCTGTTAACACCATCCAATAGAAATGTAAATATAAACTTAAAATACTAACTTTTCTACAATTTTTAAATATAAAGAGACATGAATTCATAGAAGTTATATTATTGAGATCAATAACTAAAATGCTTTTATTTTACCATATAATCAATAAAAATGAATTTTTAGGACATCTCCAATTAATTTTCTTCAATACTAAACCTTAAAATGCTTTTTATATTTTATATTCATAGAATGTATTGATTCAGGTTAACTGCATTTTAGCATTAAATAGCCACAAGAGGTTAATAACCACTGGGATTCTGCTGAGCAAATTTAGGCTATGACATGTTTGACAGCGCTTTTTTTTTTTTCACTTTTCATCCTATTTCAGCTACCTGGGTTGGAGGAGGTTATATCAATGGAACAGCTGAAGCAGTGTATGTTCCAGAATATGGTCTAGCTTGGGCTCAGGCACCAATTGGATACTCTCTGAGTCTGGTTTTAGGTAAGTGAAAGTTTAACCTTAGTCATCCACCTTGTCAAGCAAGAAGAACTCACCTATGGGCTGCAAGATAGCTTAAAGGGTGGCTTTAAGGTTGTAGTCAGCCCAGGTTGTCCAGCATCACCTGACCTCCAGCAATAATATAGGAATTTTCTTCCTCCCCCAACAACTGGAGTTAAGAGTAACAATTGAAATCACAAGAAAAAGCAATGTGAAGGTATAAAATTGATACCAGAACTATCTAAATAATAGAACACCAACGCATATATTATTTGATCTCTTGATTATGGGATGGGTAAAAAAGTCAAGTCTCGATCTTTATTTCTTAACTTTCTTTTTTTATTTCAAAAACAGTGCAAATATATTACTAAAATTAAACCAACTTGAATTACGCCTGAATTTCTTTTCTGTCTCAGAATGATAAAAGGTCAGGAATTAAGCAGAGTTCCTAAACGTTTTTGTACTCAGAATACCTTCATGGAATCTTGTGCCTATTTTAAATATGTAAGAATTCAGTGTATAAATACAATAAATATGAGTCTACGTTTGTCCTATACTTAGTTTTTTAATCAGCTTGCCTCAGGTATATTATTTAATTGTCCATAGAGCATAAATATAGTAAGGCATAATAAGAAATTATATTTCGTCAATGTTTCTTGATTCTCTACTTGAATGATATTTCAAACTGATTTATTAACTTTCAAATGTTCTAAAATATGTATCTCCTTGGGAAATTATAGTATAACCAAAGATTGAAAATGTATAACTATTACATTGTGATGCTTTAGCTCTCTCATGTATGTTTTAACTTACTTTAGGTGGTCTCTTCTTTGCCAAACCTATGCGCTCAAAGGGGTACGTGACCATGTTAGACCCATTTCAGCAGATCTACGGAAAGCGCATGGGTGGGCTCCTGTTTATTCCTGCGCTAATGGGAGAGATGTTCTGGGCCGCAGCTATTTTTTCTGCTCTAGGTAAGGACAAGTGGTTGTGATTATTGCTGAATAGCTGACTAATTGAATTTCTTCGGAATAACTTTACATTTTACTTTCTTCAGCAATAAACCAGGTCACCCCCACCTGGAATGATGAAATCTTCGCTTGCAGTTCTGCCTCCTCCTATATTCTCCACCAGGAAGTTTAGACATCCTCTTAAAATGCAAATCTGATCATACCTGTTTTTCTCCTGAAACTAAACCGAAATCCAGTCTTTTGATGATGTCGGTGCTGATGAACTTTCTCATTATTTCCTCGCCTTCCTTTTACCATACTAAAGTGCTCCTCTTGTCTCTGATATTTTACAAATCCGGGTATTTTTCCTTCCCACTAGCCTCCACTTCTTTTACACATACTTAGAAAACCCAGGAAGTGTTTTTCAGATCTTATAAAAGTTACTTCCACCAAGCAATCATCCAAAATTTGTTGGATGCCTTAATCTTTGGCTGCCTTAGGTACCTACTGGAATTTGTTTTCATTGTACTTAAGCCTTTTCATGATTTTCAATATCTAAAGGGAGTACCTATTTATTGGAAGCAAGTCCTATATATTAGTAGTAGTTGCAATCCTATTATGAATAAGTGAACGAACAAATGATTACTGAATTATCTATGGTTGCAACTTCTTCAAACAAGGAAAATCCCAACAATGTGGCCTTTCTTTCCAATGTAATATCATTATTTCATAACGATTAGGTTGTGGACATGTTTAAAGACTTAGAAAATGAGTGTAGATTCTCTAGTGACTATTGACTAATTAAGATCTATTAAAAGCTATGGACTACATGTTTTAGACCATTGGATGCAAAACCCATTTGTAAGTTTAGAATACAAAGGGATAGTAAGAGAATTTTAAGAATGATAGTCTACCTTCCGATCAAGTAGTTTCTTCTTGAAGATGAACAGAGGTGAAATTCCATAACCTTCCTCGGTGAACCAGTAAATGCTTGGCATTCAGGCCGCCTGATATATTATCCCCCATCTCCTCACAAATAGAAAAAGTGTTTGTTCAGGACATAAGTGGTCAAAGAAGAGGTAAGATAAAAGGCATTTCCTTCTTTGTAGAATATTTTAGGCTACACATTTTATCATCAGATATGGCATCAGTAATATCAATCATTTATACTGTATTTTTCTTTTTTTCTCAAACTTCTGTATAATCCTATGTTATTTTATTGGACACCAATTAGAAAATAAAAAAGTTACTTAATGTAGAAAGTAACTTGATAGTTATAAAATACTGAATAACTCAGTGAAAAATGTTGCATTTCCCTGATGCTAAGTATTAATTATCTACATTTACCACTGCACTTACAGCCTAATGAAATTGTAAAAACACACCTTTCTTTCTACCTTGCTCTGAGCTAAAATCAATGGTAATTTGTCATTGCTTTCAACCAAAAATTTTTGGTGTTAAGAATAAACTTCCTGCTGAGACATTTAAAGAGGAGTGGGCTGAATGCAGAAGGCAAAATGCTCAATCACTGAATAAGGATCAATTTATATAACTGAGCTAAAGGAAAAATAGAATTAATAACTTAATATTTCAAAAGACTTCCTGAAACATGAATACACTGACTAAATTCTGAACTTTGATGCATTATTTATGCATACATATATGTGTAAGTGTATATATATCAATATATAAATATAAAATGCATTAATGAATTTAATATCTCTATAAACATACACATACATGCAAACATACATATTCAGCAGCATGTATGTGAGGATTACTGATACTGCTTGGTTTCTATACTCTGATAAAGAGAATGAATGTGAGTTTTTAAATTCACACCAATGTTTCTTCAATAATAATGATCATGGCCACTCTCCACACACTTGCTCAGAGTCTCACCCATGAGTGAACCTATTCTTGGACTGCGCAGCTACGAATGCATCATACCACACACCTGACCCATACTCCAAGAGTACCGCACCACATTAGATGGAGTTCAAAGTAGGAGACAGACAACCAATCATAGAGGGAAATATATATATATATATATATATATATATATATATATAAAACGTCTCCATTCATCCCTGTTGCATGCTAGCATAGCCCAGTGGCATCTGTTCTAGAACGGAACATGCAGAGCCTCAAACCGATCATTCAGGGTCTTGATGAAGAAGTCAGTCTGACCATCTTGTAGGTGGGCGTCCACACGATCTTTTGACGTCCCGTGGAATCCAGTCAGTAATGGCTCTAGTCCAGCGGTTGTTTGTAAACCTCATTACATATCCAGCCCATCTGATTTTTGATGCCTTGGCAAATGAGACAACGTCCCTGATTCTTGAGCGCTGACAGAGATCGGAACTCCGGATTCTATCTCTCATTTGAGTGAATCGTGATATTCCAAGCATAGCTCTTTTGATTCCTCTTTGAGAGACCCAAATCGCGTTCTCATCCTGTTTTCGTAGGGCACAGGTCTCTGAGGCATAAATGGAGAATAGATGAATGGAGACGTTATTGGCACCCGCTCGAGTAAATTGATGAATTACGGGGGATCAAGTGATCAAGTGATATATATATATATATATATCACATATATATATATATGCATACAAGGCTCAACCTTACAAAATATATTATTTTGGTTCTTATTTGGGGCAGAGATTGGGGTTTGGGATGGAAGAATCCAAAATAAGGTGGTGGGAAGCTGTAATGGTGGTGGGATTAGGGTTTGGATATTAAATGTAATGAAATATTGTGAACTAGTTTATGAAATAAAAATATTATAAAAAATGGTCAGGAGTAACTGAAAATTACTGTTCATTAGTGACATTATCTTAAAAGTAGAGAAGTATATGGGCTGAGGAGATGGCTCAAAGGGTTGCAGCACATGCTTTACATGCAAGAGGCCCAGGTTTGATGCCTGCATGGCATGGTCTCCTGACCACCACGGGGCAGTAAACCCAAGTACTTCAGTGGGACATTGAAGCACTTGAGCAGTACTTAGTTTGGTTTCCCAAAGAGGCAAAAACAACAAAGCAAACTAGTATAAGATCTACTGATACCTTACTATGAATGTGACTAGTTAACCACTGACTTCTCTGTCCTAACTATACTCCCTCACCCCATTAGGCATACTTCCTACCATGGACTGGCCCTTGTTTCTAATGTCTTTGGGCAATATTCACATACCATGTTGTTATTTTGTTTATACTCTGCAAATGGGTACGATCATTCTATATTTGTCCCTCTCCCTCCGACTGATTTCACTTAGCATGATACGTCTAAGCAAATTTCATGACTTCATTTTTCTTAATAGCCACCTAGTGTTCCACTGTGTAGATGTACCATAGTTTCTTCATCCACTCATCTATACTCAAGCTCTTGGGTTGTTTCCAGATCCTGGCTATTGTGAATAATGCTATAATGAACATAGTAGTGCTGATGGCTTTACTGTACTATGTTTTTGGGGCCACTAGGGTATATTCCAAAGAGCCATATTTCTGGGTCAGATGTAAGTTGGAAGTTTTATTTCTAGTTTTTTGAGGAATGTTTTCCATATCACTTCCTACAAAGCCTGGACCATCAGCATTTCCACCATCAGTGAATGAGAATCCCTTTCTTTCCACATTCACACCAGCACTGGTTGTCCTGAAAAAGAGTTCCTATTTTTTTTCCTTTTTGGGTCATGCCTGGTGATGCTCAGGGTTTATTCCTGGCTCATGCACTCAGGAATTACTCCTGGCAGTGCTCGGGGACCATATGGGACAATGGGAATCAAACCTGCGTCAGCCACGTGCAAGGCAAAATGCCTTACCCACTGTGCTATCACTCTAGTGCCCGAAAAAGAATTCTTAAGAAAAATTTTGTATTCTTACTTAAGATAAAAATTGCACCTCTTTTACTTTGAGAAAACAAATAGACATCCTTGATGGATTACATTTCCAATGCAATTGAAAAGTATAATTCAGTGTTAGCCACTGATGATACAAACACAAAACATAACAAGTATCTTACATATAATTTGGCACTTTTATCAGTATTATATTAAAATATCAAATACAAATAATATAGCGTTTGAGAACAATGGGGAAGGGTCGTATAGAGCAAGAAGAGCAGGAATTCAAGTGCTTATACCATAATATTCTCATTAGAAATAACACACCAACTAACGTAATTCAAAAAGTCTTAATTTTAGAAGGGCACATATTTGAACCTGAAGCAGGTTTACATTTTTTGTTATAAAGTTAACATAACTATCATGTTGATCTTCAGTACATTGTTGTCCTAGGTACAGGACTGAAATACTCCATCAGTTAAAATGAATACGATTTTTCACACAGTTGAAAGAGAAAATGTTGTCAGATACAAGCGGGTAGGGCGTCTGCCTTGCACGCAGCCAACATGGCCGACCCGAGTTCGATTTCTCCGCCCCTCTTGGAGAGCCCGGCAAGCTACCGAGAGTATTCGATATGCCAGACACAGTAACAACAAAGTCTCCAATGGAGACGTTACTGGGCCCGCTCGAGCAAATCGATGATCAACGGGAGGGCCTTTACTTACTTACTTTACAAATTTGTCTCACATCTTGTTACCTTATCCTGGCTGTCTCCTAACTAAAGTTTACAAAAATTAAAGTTAATAAAAAATAGAAGTTTAATATTAATTTTAAATGTATAAATGTTTATTTAAGAAGTTTATTTTGATTAATATAAATACTTCATGTAATTGAAAATATTTTAGAGTTTGTGGAGCCATCACAAATTATTTTATATATATTTTTATAAAATTTTTTAATGATACTATGAAATTCAGATATCCATACATGGACTTTGCTAAATGACTTCAAGTGACTAAAACACTACTTTCAGAAAGAAATACTATCTTCCAAGTTTTTGAAATATATTGATATATATCATTCAATGCATTTCATATAACACAGGGTGAAATAGCTCTTGTCACTAAACTTTTAATAAATCATTAAACAGAACACAGAATCTACTGAGGATATCCACCAGAGTTTTCTTGTTGACTTTCTTTCAGGAGCCACCATCAGCGTAATCATTGATGTTGATGTGCATGCTTCTGTCATTGTCTCCGCACTCATTGCCATCTTGTACACCCTGGTGGGTGGTCTCTACTCAGTGGCCTACACTGATGTTGTCCAACTTTTTTGCATATTTGTAGGCCTGGTAAGTGAAAATCTCTGCCTCTGTCTCTATCAGTCTGTTAACTCTCTCTCACATTCTCCCATTCTCCCTTTTTCTCTTTCTCCCTTCACTCTCCATCTCTACTTTTAAATTCTATTGTTATCATATGGAAATTTTTGATTGCATCAAAAATTAAATTTCATTTAAAATTTAATTTTAATTGCATTAATAATTGGGTGAAAAGCTAGTCTTTTTTTTAGATTTTGTTGGAAAAGTGTGTGGTTAGTTTAATTTGTGCAAGAGTCTAGAAAGATCTTTCACAGTGGGCCAGGTGTGGCCCCAAACTCAAAAACAAGTAAGTATTTATATATAAATATAATGTTGTTATTTTTAGTGTTTTTGAACCAAATATTTCTGATGACTGCACCTATATGTTGTAAAATGATATAATGAAGTACAGAAGTAGGCAATATGTAATTTTTTTGAATCATAGTTTTACTGTGTTTATAGAAATTATCCAAGTACTAAACAGGCCCGACCCTGCTTAGCTTCCGAGATCAGACAAAATCGGGCGCGTTCAGGGGGCTGGAGCGATATCACAGCGGTAGGGCATTCGCCTTACAAGCGGCCACCCGAGTTCGATTCCTCTGCCCCTCTCGGAGAGCCCGGCAAGCTCGCCTGGCAAGCTCCCCGTGACGTATTCAATATGCCAAACACAGTAACAACAAGTCTCGTGATGGAGACGTTACTGGGCCTGCTCGAGCAAATACAAATTATGATTTTAGAGGAGCGATAGCACAGCGGTAGGGTGTTTGCCTTACACGCAGCCAACATGGCCGACCCGAGTTTGATTCCTCTGCCCCTCTCAGAGAGCCCGGCAAGCTACCGAGTGTATCTCGCCCGCACGGCAGAGCCTGGCAAGCTCCTCGTGACGTATTCGATATGCCAAACACAGTAACAACAAAGTCTCCAATGGAGACGTTACTGGGCCCGCTCGAGCAAATCGATGAACAACGGGAGGGCCTTCTCTATCTAGTCAAGATAAATTACTGATCTATGAGGTCTGCAAGAAAAAAAGAAAATTGAAACTTTTATAAGTTATAAAGTGAAAGAATAACATCCTAATTCTCTAATATCATTATTTGGTTACAGTGGATCAGTGTCCCATTTGCAATGTCCCATCCTGCAGTTACTGACATTGGATATACAGCTGTGCATACCAAATACCGGGAGCCTTGGCTGGGGACCATTGAATCATATGAAGTCTATACTTGGCTTGATAATTTTCTGTTGTTGGTAAGCGATATCCGTACCTGAGGAACTAAATCTAATTACTCTAAAACAAATTCTTTTTCAATATTATAATGTTTAATCTACAATTCACCTACTAGCGTATGTCTATTCCTGAATTAATCACTTTCCATTGGAAGTATGGAGTCACTTACTGAGTATGGTTCACTACTATCAAAGTAAGGAGCCAATAAGGCCTTAAAGATGTAACCAATGGGGGGTTTACATCTCCACCTTTCTGTTCTTTAGATAAAATATACTAAGCTATATCTCTCCCAATCTGAGAGACAAATTTTCTAAAAGCCTGAATTTAAATTTTGTATTAAGGTAGTAAGCGCCAATTTCTTCTGAAACAGCTAATTACTGAGTATATGAATTAATGGTGCTATAAGTCTCCAAATATTTGTTTTGGTGGTGATGGGAAGTCGTTCTCAGAGGATGCAAGGGGTTAATTCAGAACACTCAGCCAGCTGGGCTAGGGGTTCAATGCTAGGGTTTAAGAATGTGGTTCTGCTAACGCTTTGCAGTGCTGTTTGTACACTATGATGCTGGGTACCACCAAGGATACCTTTGCGATGCTCAGAAACCTCCAGAATCACATCTGGAGATGTTTTGGGGCACCTTAGGCCTAGCAATTCTCAGGAAGCCATGTAGTTCCAGGGATTGAACCTGGATGTGACAGGTACCCTAATCACTTAACTATTTCCCAACCCACAAACTTTTTAAAGTGTGCTTCTCAAGAATATCTTTAGGCACATTTTCAGTGCAGGTATAATGCAATTACCAATATACTACACTAGCACTGAGTAAGTTACTTAATAAGTGTTATCTTACATTTGTATGTAAGATAAAAAATGAGTAAAACATAATAATTTTAATATTTTCGATGCTTTATTTTCCTAATACTCTACACATCCCATTTTGTAAAACATCCAAATACATTGATTCATAGTACACAGTTAGTTCCAGAGAAGCACTCAAGCCCTTTGCATCCTTGTACTCTTACAGTCACAATATTTTCTGATAATTCATATTCATTAATTATATTGATTTATATTAAACTTTATACTTTCAGAATCTTATTTGGTTTTGGGGTAAAACACTGCAGTGCTTGGGGCTTATTCCTGCTTTGTGCTCAGGGATCACTCCTGGCAGTGCTTGGGGGACCATATGCAGTGGCAGGAACTGAACTGGGATCCACCATACCTTAACTTCTGTTTATCATTGCAGTCCATATATTCATAATTTTTAGGCTGTGTTTTAATAATTAAAAACACCAGATAAGAACAAATAAAGGTTTCTGGGTATTTTTAAATATAACTTGAGGGAGATAAACTACAGAAAATGAATATTTCTGCTAGAAGAAAAAGATCACATTTACACAATGGAGTACTATGTAGCTGTTAGAAAAGATGAAATCATGAAATTCACATACAAGTGGTACTACATGGAAAGTATCATGTTAAGCAAAATGAGTCAGAAAGAGCAGGATAGACACAGAAAGATTGCATTCATCTGGGGAACATAAAGCAACAAAATGGAAGACTAACACGCAGGAGTGGCCGAGATTAGTACCAGGAATTTTGCTCCATGACTTGGAGGCCAGCCGCATGTGCTAGGAGAAAAGAAAGCTCAGATAGAGAGGAAAGCACCAAATAAAGGGTGTTATGAGGATCCTCCCCGGGTGGGAGAAGCATGCTGAAAGTAGACTATAGACCAAACTTGATTGCCACTCAATGCCTCTCTTGCAAACTACAGGACCCAAAAGGAGAGAGAGAGAACAAAAGGGAATGCCCTGCCACAGAGGCAGGGTGGGATGGGGGGGTGGGGGGTGGGAGGGATGCTGGGACCCGTGGTGGTGGAAAATGGGTGCTGGTGGAGGGACGGGTACTTGATCATTGTATAACTGAAACCCAACCACAAAAATTTTTAAGTCTATAACTGTACTTCAAGGTGTTTCACTAATAAAATAAATAAATAAATTCATGTAACTGAAAGTAGGAAAAATGCAGAATGAGAGCAGTTAAAGTGTGTGATACGTTTGCAGAGAGGAATCAGTAAAAAAGTTAAACAAAAGCACTAAGTGAAATAGAGAACTTGCTCAAAATTGTTCGTAAGAGCATTAAGAAATAGCAATCTGTACAGGTCATCCTGTATACGATTAAATTAAATCTTACTTTTAAAATGTCTAGTAGGTGTTAGTTGATTAATTTATTATATGCCCTTGTGTTTTTATTGTAGATGCTGGGTGGAATTCCATGGCAAGCGTACTTTCAAAGGGTTCTTTCTTCATCCTCAGCCACCTATGCTCAAGTGCTCTCCTTCCTGGCAGCATTTGGGTGCCTGGTAATGGCTGTACCAGCAATACTTATTGGAGCCATTGGAGCATCAACAGGTACATCTCTTGTAGGTTCATTAACTGACCCACTTAGATATATGGAAGTGACCAATTACCAACATGCTAGCTTCCCTCACCCTTGTTTTCCTCTTATTCTCACAGTTGTTTCCCAGCAATGTTCATGTATGTCACTTTATTGTGGTTATCAACAAACACTTTGAAGTTCAGTGATCTCCATCACTTGTATTGCTCACCTTACCCATAAAATATTTGTGAGCACCATTTCCTATGCTGATATATTTATTATCTATATACAATACATATATGTCTATATACATTTATACATAACCTCATGTCAGAAAAGTTTCCCAGCTGAAGTACACATTGGCACCACCTGGAGAGGTGGGATAGCCTTTAAATATGCATATTGATGGTCAACTCCACAGGGACTCTATTTTAATAACCTGAGATAAACCAAGACACTTGTTATATTTAACTTCCTCTATGAATCAACGTGTAACTAGAGTTGATATGTACTGGCTTGAAACAATTTTTGCCCATACCATGGTCATCTTTGAACTTGAGATTATTTCTTTACATTTTCATTAACTAGTTAATATGGAGCATTCTTCGTTGGAAAAATTAGTATGTATAGGTAAAGATAAACTAAAGCAGCCTAAAAGGATAATTCAATGGACTAAGTGCATGGTTTGCACACAGAAGGCCCAGGTTTGAGTCCCATCACTGCATGGTCTCCCATATACTGCTGGAAATAACTGCTGATCACAGAGCTGGGAGTATCCCCCAGAACTTCTGATTGTAACTTTAAAAAAAGGGAAATCAAAGTCTTATCTAGGTAGAAATGATTAAAGCAAATTTGATGTTTACCTTTCATGATACTGTGTTCTATAAAGATAATCCAGGATGAAATGCACATGACTCATTTGGTTTTCAATTAGTAAAACAACCCATTCAATTATTTAATTTTGATTAATTTATTTTATTTATTTTTTGTCTTTGGGCCACACCTAGAAATTTTTAGGGTTTACTCCTGGCTCTGTGCTCAGGAATCACTCCAGACAATGTTTGGAAGACCATATGTGATGCTGGAATCGAACCAGGGTCAGTCACATGCAAGGAAAGTGCCTTAACCCTTGTACTATTGCTCTGGCTCTGGGTTATTTTGTTTTAAAAATTAACATCATGATTCATGTCTGTACTCTAGCTGTTCGTTGCAATTAACATAAACACTTAAAAATATGACTAATGGTATTGATGCCTTAGAGTAAAAAATAACATTTATGTGAAAACTAGAAAAACATCTTGTCATTACTGATATTTATTAAAGACTAAAAGCTAAAGATATCAGAACCTATGCTTTTTAAAATTCATTATATTATTTCTGGTACCATAACATCTCATTAATAGTATAAAACTTGTATCTTCAAAGTACTAAAGTGTAACTTCAAATAATTATGATATAAAATGAAAACTTTAAAAATAAGGTGAACCCAAAGGAAAGCACATCTGTTTTTCCTATACTCATGATATTTAACCAGCTTAGAAAATTAAAGAGAAATAATTCTAACATACATTTAGAAGTTCTGTTGTATTCTTTAGCATGTGCTGATGAACTAAACAATTGAAAAAAAGGCTATACATTCACACATGATCTTATGTTTCAATTTTGTCAATCAGCACAAAAACCTGAAAATTTTAGTCTTATACCCAAACTTTTGTTCAGCGAACAACACTGTTACTAAAAAATTTGAAAATCATGGGATAGAAATAAAATTATTTTTAAAATGGTCTGTACTTTATCTGTCAAACTTCTCATTACCAATAAATGTGATTTGATTCAAAAACAAAGAATTGCATTGAGAGATAATGCTGAGAAAACTACAAAACCCAATTTATGTATAGCTGAGAGTGACTAAAAATAGCTCTTTATTCTCTTGATTTATTTATGCAAAATTATCTAAGGAATCAACAATAAGTATTCTCTCATGTTTCAAAATGATCCATGATTTATTTTAAGAATATTTTATATATTCCTACAATGAAATGCCACCATCATAAAATGAAACTATATAGTCAAGTCTCTCTCTCTATTCTATATACATATATGAATGAATATATATATTTATATCTATATTATAATGGGCTGGAGGGATAGCACAGTGGGTAGAGCATTTACCTTGTACGTGGCCAACACAGGTTCGATTCCTCTGCCCTCTCAGAGAGCTCAGCAAGCTATCGAGAGTATCCGGCCCTCATGGTAGAGCCTGGCAAGCTCCCCGTGGCATATTCAATATGCCAAAAACAGTAACAAGTCTCATAATAGAGGTATTACTGGTGCCCGCTCGAGCAAATCAATGAACAACAGGAAGACAGTGCTACAGTGCTATATTATAATATTCCACCATATATTGTACAGATATTATAAATAAAAGTGTAACCAAACTTGCTAGAAGTCAGTACATATAAAACAATTTCGCTTGACCAGTACGTGAACTTCCCACCTAATTAGACTAATTCATACAAACCAAATTCATTCTAAAGTATGCCTAGTAAATTTAATGAATCTCAAAAGAATGAAAAACATATGGCTTTTTGGTTGTTGTTTGTTATTTCTGTCCAACAGACTGGAACCAAACTACGTATGGGTTTCCAGATCCCAAGACTAAAGAGGAAGCAGACATGATTTTGCCAATTGTTCTTCAGTATCTGTGCCCTGTGTACATTTCTTTCTTTGGTCTTGGTGCAGTCTCTGCTGCTGTTATGTCATCAGCAGATTCTTCAATCTTGTCAGCAAGTTCAATGTTTGCTCGGAACATCTATCAGCTTTCATTCAGACAAAATGTAAGAACATCTTTTTAAAAACTGTTTTTTTTTAAAAAAAATATAACTTGTTGCTGCTGTTGCCATTCTTTATTCTTATTCTGCATGTCGTATTGCATGCTTATTAATACTTTTAATTAAAATATGACAAAACTATCGTACTGAGTGAAATAAGCCAGAGGGAGGACAAATCACAGATGATTTCACCTATATGCATGCAAAGGGAAACTAAAAAGTGTATAGATAATATCACTTGATAACAAACTGAGAATACCAGACAGGACAAAGTGAGAGTACCAGATTTGGGGGGGACAGGAGTAAGTGGCAGGTTTATACAGCAGCATGGGATGGGGGCTCTTGGGTATCTTGATGGTGGTGAGGTAAAAGTGAAAAGACTAAATACCAAAAAAATCAACCAGTAAAAATATATTACTCGGGGCTGGAGCAATAGCACAGCGGGTAGGGCATTTGCCTTGCATGCAGCCAACATGGCCAACACAGGTTTGATTGCCAGCATCCCATATGGTCCCCTGGACACCGCCAGGAGCAATTTCTGAGTGCATGAGCCAGGAGTAACCCCTGAGCATCGCCGGGTGTGACCCAAAAAGCAAATATATATATATATATATATATATATATTACTTTACCTATAATAAATTAAAAAGGAATAAAATATAACTGATCATAATTAGATTAAGCATACATATTATGTAAATTTTACTTATGAATATTTATGTTATCATTTATTCAATTATTAAAAGAAGCAAATCAATGTAACTTTATGCTAAAAATAACTCATATCAGTCTAATTTAAGCTTCCTGTCATTTTTTTTTCTTTTTACCTTTTTGGGTCACACCTGGAGGTGCTCAAGGGTGATTACTGGCTCTGTACTTAGGAATTACTCCTGGTCATGCTAGGTGTCCATCTGGGATGCTGGGGATCGAATCTAATATTATCATCCTGGCCTTCTTTTTGTCTTTCTAATGAAACTTAAAATACTTTAGAAAAACTTTCATTCAGTGTCTTTTAAAAATGTGAGAAACATAGAGAAGCAGAATATTAAACATTTTCTCAGGGGTATCTGTATATCATGCTCTTCACTTGGCTTTTTAAGTCCACTTTTGTCATAAAATGCCCTTTCAACTTGATTTTCTTTAATCAAGTGGATGCCTATCAGCATGGTCTTTTGATCACTGAGGAGCCAGTAATCCCCTCTCTGCTGTCTTCCTAAAATGTTGCTTTTCTATTGGCTTTCTAGTTCATTGTTAATCAAAGAGTACCATTTACTTATTTGAGATGGTTAATCTGAAAGATTCTAGTGTTCCCACAAAGAGAGGAAGTGGGGATACCATATAAAAATTATTCCTAAATATGTAGTCTTGTCACTATATTGTTAGTGCTTTATGACAACATGTAAGGTATTTTACTTTCTTTCCCTGATTCCCCCCCGCCTCTCCCACACACACATTCAGGAAAACACATTGTGGTCAGTGCTCTGGCATGTGATATGCAGAAATCTTTCCCGAATGATCCAGGGGGCCACTTACACTGCTTGCTTTAGATATTCTAATTTTCGTTCAGTTTGCTGATAGATCAATTTAAACTAGGGAATCTGTATGTGAATTTGTGTGTTTCTGGGTAAAGGTCTGTGTCCAGGACCCCCGAAGTTTGTTAAAGTTACTTCACTGGTGTTTTGTATAGAACCCGGACCTCCTCCCACTGCAAATCATGTATTATAGATCTTTATGCCAGCAATACACTTTCCTCAACCCCTCTTAATGCAGGAGAATTCTTTAGATCACTTTTTAAATGCTGAAAATGCTATCTCTTTTGTTTAAATGAGCCAATACATTGTGTGAAATTTTGACATTATGCAATTATTTTCAGGCATCAGACAAGGAAATCGTCTGGGTCATGAGAATCACGGTACTTGTGTTTGGAGCATCTGCAACAGCCATGGCCTTGCTCACAAAGACAGTATATGGTCTCTGGTACCTCAGCTCAGATCTTGTTTACATCATCATCTTCCCACAACTGCTTTCTGTGCTCTTTGTTAAGGGAACTAACACATATGGAGCTGTAGCAGGTTACATTTCCGGCCTTTTCCTACGAATAACTGGTGGAGAGCCATATTTACACCTTCAGCCCTTAATCTTTTACCCTGGTTACTATTCTGACAAGAATGGTACATATTATCAGAGATTCCCATTTAAAACTCTTGCAATGGTTACCTCATTCATATTCAATGTTTGTATTTCTTATCTAGCCAAATACCTATTTGAAAGTGGAACCTTGCCACCAAAATTAGATGTGTTTGATGCTGTTGTTGCAAGACACAGTGAAGAAAACATGGATAAGACAATTCTGGTCAAAAATGAAAATATTAAGTTAGATGAACTTGCACCTGTGAAGCCTCGACAGAGCATTACTCTCAGTTCAACTTTCACCAACAAAGAGGCCTTCCTTGACATCAATTCCAGTCCAGATGGATCTGGGACCGAAGATAATCTATAGTAATCCCTGCAAAAATAAAACTGCTTTCTCAAACAGGCTAGTCCTGAAAGTATGGTGTGCAGCATATAAAAATATATTTTAAAAAATACAAAAGGCCAAATACCCATATGAAAGTGCAATTTTACAAACGCAAAGATAGTAGAAAATACTTCAAAAAGCAGTGGCTTTCTCTCATTGATACATTCTCATTTGATTTTGAGTTCAATAGTTTTTACAGTAGCCAAAATTAATAAAATCCCACTAAAAAGATCTATGACAAGATTAATTATATTTATTATGGTAAATTAAATATATATGAAAAGAACCTAGGAAATCAAATAGGCTTGCTCCAGACATCATTTAATAGCATTATACATAGTTTAACTGTTGCTCTAAAGCTATTTGAATCATCATTTATCTACACATTGATTAATCATGTAATGAATTTACAAGCTGATTTTATTGATGTGATGAAAAACATTTCTATTCATGTTTTATAACATTTGCTAGATTTTTCTTTTTGGTGGTATACAAAATATATTGTGCTTTTCCTTTTTGTGAAATGTAATAGAAATTGAGTTTATTTTTTTGACATAGTGCTGGATTCCTTTGATTGTGCTCATACTTGCAATAAGCACTAAGATAGGCACTGAAGAACAAAGATACATGATTATTAGGGAATTTACAGCAATAAATCTTAATGCTTATTAATCAGAAGATACATTTCATCTTCATATGAAGCTTTCCCTTCAAAGATGCAATGTTTTGATCTATTTATAAATTAGTAATTCTATTAAATATGAACCATGTAAGGTAGTACTAGTAAAGTATAATGGGAGAAAAACTGGCACCTCCACATGATAGTAAAACTAGAAAACAAAATCCACTCAATTTTGGATATTCTATTATAAAGAGATTATCTAGTATAAAGAGAACAAATTTGTGGCAATATTCCGCATAAACCACACTTAAGTACCAGATTAATTATCATTTAAAAAAAAGCTTATAGTGAATGTTAAAGAAAGCAGAAAGTAACAATAAGACCTAAAGAGAAAAAAAAATGCCTCTACATTGTGTCTACATAATTTTAATGAGGTTTGCCTTCAACTAATATTTTGCCCCTTTTCTGGATATATATATATGTATATATATATATATATATATATATCATATGTAGTATGTCATATCCATTTAACAATTTTAAATGTTTTCTCACTCATCATATTATAAAAGTAACTGGAGCTGATTTACAAAAGCAGAGTTAACTGAGAAGCTTGAAAAGTATCTTATTATTGGATTCCATAAAGTAAGGTAGGCTGAATTGTTCAAACTGAAGTACTTTTTCCAAGCACATTTCTCATTTGAGATTATAGACCAAATAAGTTAACTTCCATGCTCAATATTAAAGCTGTCAAAAAAATTCTTTTCTTGTTTTGATTGTAATATTCTAAAAATATAAATAATACACATTTTGGTTAAACTTATATTAAATCTACAGGTAAATTTTCAAAATATGAGGATAGTAGTATTAAATATCGCAACATGACATATTTTAATGCATTACCATAGGGATGGGACACTTGGAAATAACAAACTTATAGAACCACTAAGTATGAGGATCCAAAGAGTATCTGACATGGATTGAGAGATGAGCCAAAGGAAGCACAGCAAAGAAAAACCACAGTGATGTAAACATTTGATGTATATAAGTAATTTAATGATAGGCATTAAAGTTCCTGGAGGATATGATTTTTTAAAAATGTTTCATGCTTTCTATATAATTACCTACATAATGATTTTTTATCCACTCCATCCATTAGCTCCTGTTTCAACCTATTTAGGCACTTGTCTCCATAGAAACTGTTTACCCTTTATGATAACAGATAACAACAAACACGTAATGTCTCTTGGTAAACATTAATATTGTATGATTTTATGCAACAATTATATAAGCAAATGTTATATTTAAATTAAGTTGTAATAAATGTAAATAATAGACATTTCTTCTATTTCATCCATTTTGTAGCATTGCAGAGATAGAGATGGGAAGAGTTTACCTTGTTAAATTATTAAAAATAACATAAATAATTTAAGCTAATTGTTCTCACTTTTAGTTAATACATTATTTTCCACCTACTTGAAAACTAGTATAAAATCTATTTGAAAATGTGCTAAATATTAGTAAGATAATTTTTAAGTATTAAAAAATGTTGAAGATCAAAAGAAATAAAACAATGATCACAGAGTCTTTATTGCACAATTCACTCATGGATTCCCTCCCATTTTCTAGGACAGGAACAAAATTATAAGATGTGGAAGATAAGCCTTATGCTCATCACTTGCTGTATTTTGATGTGATGGATAATAGAGAGCATGTTCTAGCTTTATTCCATGTACCTGATTTTCAAAAATGTATGCTCAATGAAGATAGAACAATAAACATTTTAGACACTAGCCTAGCTATATTTAAATTATGTTAATAATACCTGTGGATAAATAATTAGAATAAAAATTTATTTTCATATGTTCACAGTAATTGTAACATGTTTCTTGGGTATCATAATTTTTTGTACAGTTTTCAAGATATCAAGCCTGTACCTATATTGAAATGTCAACAAAAATGCCTCATACTCTCATTATGAAAATTCAATATTATTGCTATATTTATAAATACTGAATTTTATGTGACTGTGAAATTAATGTAAGCCTGAAATAAGTAAATATAATACAGTGGCGTCTAGCTTTTTTATTTAGAGGCATCTATTAACATTTTCTTTTAAGAATACACTATAATTTTTTGTTTTCAGTCTTCAAGAAAATGTACACTGGTATACTACATAATTTATTGTAAGTTTGCTATGTAAGTTCCAGACATATATCTATAAATATATAATGATTATAAACATATATTTTGCCTGTTAAATTATTATATGAATTATGAGTAAAGTAATTTTATTTAAATCTGTCAGTGTAAATGTTTTAAATGATATGGCATTAAAGTGAATTGATAGAATTCAATCTAGGTTTAACTTTGTTGGGCTCTATCAATGGTACTTTAAAGAAATTATGCAATGAAATGGAATCAAACCATTGAATTACTGGGCCATATGCAAAAACCAAATACCAAAAGGTTACCACTTGCATAAATGTTAGGAAAATGTATACTATATTTCACAAAATTCAAATTATTTTTATTAGAAAGATGGCCTACTACTGTTTGTAAGATTTCTTTCAATAAAAATACAAGTTCCATTGATATCAAGAAGATCTGTATGGATACTGGGTTCTTAAAAGGCAAAGAGCTCTGTCATAACCATTAATTTAAGATATGCACCTAATCATTATGTGATAAACTAGATTTTGTTATCCTCTGATTATCATTCATCTCTTTCTAAATTCTCCAGAGATTTTCTAAAGGGTGAGTATACATATCTCCAAAAGAACTTTGGCCTCTTAAATCTTTATCATTAACAGTAGTGCCTTAGACTGCATGTAAGGAATAAGGACCTAGAGTAAAATTAAGGGTGAATGAAGGAAAGAATAAACATTGTGGCAGAAATTTTACACTCATGTGTCTACCACTATGCATACATTTCTGGAGATCTTGTGCTTTCTGTGTAATCACAAATTTATGCTATAGAAGGAATGATTAGGAGCTAGAATAGAGAATATATAGCATATGATATTGGATTCTGTGTGTTCGTTCTTCATTGTAACCATTGTGATCAAAGAACTTAATTTTAGCATTATCATTTTCTAAAGACAGATATTCTGAAAACAAAACTGAAAGAGACCCAGGGTGCTATAAGATCAAGATAAATATTATTTCTACTTTTCTATTTTTTTGGAGTGGAATGAGGTTTGGGTTATGCCCATCTGTGCTCAGGGGTTTTTCCTGGCTACATGCCCAGGGATCATTCCTCATGAGGGCAGGATACCATATGAAGTATCTGGGTTCTAACCTGGGTTGCTGGTGCAATGCCAGTGCCTTATTGGTCACATTATCTCTCTGACCCTTACTTCTGTATCTTTTAAAGGCTCTCCTAAAAAAGCAGAGCTCCAAACCAGTAAAATTAGCATGAGATATTGGTTAAAATAGCTAAAATCAGTATATATGCTAATTTTGGTTTAGTTTCTATTATAAAACTAGATCTACTTAAAAGAAGCATGCATTCTGAGTCATTTATTTTTCTATCTAGAGTTAGTTAAAATTGAATTAAACACTTAAGTCTATAATTTGTGATATTATTAGTGAAAAGTAAATGGCTATTACAATAGTATTTGGAAATGTAACTGAAGTGATCTACAATAGAATGACTCTAGGAATTAGATTGTAGTTCAGTGTTACCACTCTATTAAAAAGAATCGAATGGTTTTTAAAATGATTTATATATATTGAAGGGTCCTGGAGAGAGTTACTGTGACTAGGCTGAATATCTAATTTGCACCTGACCTTGGGTTTGATCCACTAGCTTCCCATGCATTATGTACAATGAGGCCACCTATCACTTCCAAGTGTGCCTTGGGTACCCCTAGCTGGGATAATTCCAGGAGCAGCACTATATCCTCAGGCCCTAGCAGCAAAACCCTGGCCTAGTTGATCTACCACATCTGGAGGTGGTCCTCTTACCTCCTGAATAATGCTTGGGAGGCGATCCAAATAATATATAATAAAATATAATGTAAAAACATTATATTTTAATGTTTTTAATAATTACTAAATAATAACAATGCAGTATTTATTACTACATTACTGTAATGTAGTAATAAAATATTGAGAAAGTTGATTTAAAAATTGCCCAAAGTTGGCCTTCAAAGTCTATATAATGTATATATTGGGTAGAAAGTGTTGATGAACACTAGTAAAAAACTAACACAAAAATTTTAAATATCAAGGCCAGGGAAGTATTATATAAAACATATTACTCTATATAGGTTAAAATTCCCCAGTCACTGATTGCCATGGGCATAAAATGTTTTGACTTTCCAGGAAGCAATCTGGATTGAATGCATACAAAACAAATCTCAGTACCAACTACATTTGCTTGTGTTCAAAGATTTTCAATAGATACAATGGATGATGTATGATCTGCTTTCTATCAACATTAAGTTGAAATTTAGCCTTCAGAAATATTCTAACCTACATAGGCTTACATTTGAAACAGCTTCCTTGTATGCTATGATGTGGGGAAGTACCTAATGGTGAATCTTGGCATCCTACGGGTGAA